AGATTTAAGTTTGCATGTAACCCTGAAGATCCTTTCCCAATAACCCTGTAGATGACCCAAGCATACATGAAGCTGGGAGAGTAAGGCTGGATGCCCCATGGTGGGAGCGAACCAGTGTTAGTCTGCTCTTGACTCACGCGCACACTACCACCGAGCTACAGCAGCCCAGTTATATGATCTTAAGTACTTTAAAAACTTTAACTTTTGGATAATTACTTCGAAATTTGTGTATGATATTAATAAAAGCCATAACTTTCTGCATATATTACATTGATTAATCAATAACATATCCTTTCAACTTATACAAAAAGAATGTGCCTACATCTACTTCAAATATTCTGGTGTATTTGTTACACATAATTTGTTATCCTTTCACATCTAATAAGTCACTACACTCCCTATCATTGTTTTTCTTGATTTCTTGAAGTGGTTTTTTTTGGTGCCTGGGCAATTTTCTTTTGCCTGTCTAAGTGTCACACTCATGAAAGAAAAAAAAAAAAAAGAGGTGTGGTTTAAGATCATGCCAACAAATTAGATATTTATTATCATACTGCACACATGGCCAATGTGACAAAGTGGTAATGCTCGAGGCATTGATCTGTCAGGTCGAGGGTTTGCAGCCAACCACTGTCTGAGGTTGGAAAGAACATTTACTTAGGGTAACGGTCACACTTGCCAATAACCAAAGTCCTTCACAAGATGGCACCGTCCTAGCCCTTAGTAGATACGGGAGTCTGTGTCATAGAATCTATCATATTATTATGTTGCCTACAATGAGAATGTTATGGAAGGGGGTTGTTATAATGCACTTGAAAAATATGGACAATAATAGCGTAAGAAAAGAAATGAAGATAGTCTTTAATGCTCTTGAATGTTTTCCATCAAAAAGAGTTGATAAAAAATATGCTTGGCCTTTTCTGTCTTGATGAAATAGACGTGTCAGTGGTGTTTACTTACGTTTTATGGTGGTGGACATAGACAGACGACTGTGGCTGGGGAATGAAGGCTGACCGTCCTTCATTATGCCCAACGGTGGGCTCAATCTCTGGTCTGTCAACTCTTGATTCGAGTATTCTACCCGCTTGACTACTGTGGTCCCCAGATGTGCTAATGCAAACATATGTAATTATTTGTGGTCTTCACAGAGGAGTAACACCATGAGTGACTTACTATTTTTTCGTATCGAATTTTATGTTCTTAAACTGAATTTTTGAAGCTATATCAATATTTTCTCACGAGAGAAGATCCTTGCCCACTTACCCAGTTAGTGATGCAAGCAATGTGGTTCAGAGGATTTGTGGGAGCCCTTTATCCTTAAGGATATAAGAGTGATCAAGGTGTATTAGCTCCAAGAATATGTGTGCTTTGACTCAGTCACCCTCCTTGCAAGGGGGATTCAGGGTGTTGCATATATAAATGTATTTACCTCAATCTCTAGTGGTGGATTAAAGAAACTGGTTGTTTGCAAACCCTTTCCTTCCTTCCTCAGTTTTTAATTGGACTCAATCCTCCACAGGTGGAGATGTGGGCTAATTATCAGTTAGATGAGAGAAGAAATCCTGTGAGACGAAAAGTGGACCACATCGGCTTCAAGAACTACCTTTGTCCTTATTGTAGCTACACAACGACATACAAAAACGTATACGAAAGACACATTTTAAAGCACACAGGAGAGAAGCCCTATAAATGCCCCCATTGCTCATACAGATCGCACAGGAGCGACTTGCTAAGAGACCACGTGAATATACACACAGGAGAAAAACCTTTCTCGTGTCCCATCTGTGCCTATAAGTCCTCTCGTAAGCACAGTCTGAAGAAGCACATCAAAGCCACTCACAAGGACTGTAATGCATCACTGTCACATTGGGATGTGAATACACCAAATGTTTAAAAATTTTACTGGTTGAAAATGCATTTTTATAGCATTCTATCTATATACAAAGCCATAATCCCCATTGTAAGGGAGTTAACTGAATCAAATCAAACGCCTGTACTCTTTATGGGAGGAAATTACTAAAAAGGGGATTCCCAGTGGCATACAATTTTGCAAGGGTATTATTTACAAGAGTGTAACCGTAGAATATTAAAGTAGATATTAACGTTAATATTTGTAGTTTAGTTATAAGTTTTAAAAACAGTTTTTATATGTTATCACTTGTATTAGTGCTTTGTCATATCTTAAATAATAAACTTGACTTACCTTTTTTTTATCTTATTTGGATGGGCAGTTTCTTGTAGTTTGTGCCAAACGTGTATTGGTACCCCAGTAGCACTGCAAAGTAAAAAGGGTCTCTCTAGTATGAGACTGCATTTATTCTGAAATATTAGTAGTAAATGATGAAAAAATATTAATTGTTAGATGACCATCTTTATTACCATTATTATAAGCCAAGCAACAAGCCCAGCTGGAAAAGTCTACAACTATAAACCAGCTGGCTCCAACAGGGGTAGCATCTTGGTGAAAAGAAAGAGAAAATATTTTTCTGGTTTCCTTTTTTCTTGTACTAATCATGTACTGTACTGAATAAAGCTAGTTTGGGCAGATTCTGAGTTTAGTTTTATTCTCAATTTTTCTGTGGGCCTCACAGCAGAATATCCTTGCCCAACTACACTGTGGATGACTCAAGCAGGGTGGTGAGGGGGAATAATTGCCGTCTTTATCCCCAAGGAGATAAGACGAATGATCAAGGTATATTGGCTTTTGTGAATGCGTGTACTTTGACCTGACCACCTCCTTACTAGAAAGGATTGCAACCACTGTATACATGTGTTCTCAGATTCTGTCTTTGATAGAGTTATGAAATTTATGGAATGAGAAAGCAGGCATTAGGAAATATTTGGAAAATATTCAATGATATGAAGAATTGTGTAAAGTAACCACTGAACTCGATGTAAACTTGATGCAAGGACTATCAATCCACAAAAATAAGTCACATCTGAAACCCTTCTGTAAATTCATACAATGATAAAATAAAATCCTAATGAATATCTCTCTCAATTGCTCTGAAAACAAAGAACAATTTGTAAAAATTATGCATGGTCATATAAAAAGTCAGAGATCATTATTAATATTATTATAATTTAAGTATGTAAATACTTATTTGATGATGTATATTTCTATTACACTTGAATAAAACTGGGCCTCCTCCACAGGTGGAGATGGAAATAAGCCCCGAGTGGCCTGACACCATGAGCGGCAACACAGAGGAATTGCAGGACCAGAATGTGCCCAGCAAACCTCACCGATGCCCATTTTGTAGCTATACCACAACCTCTGTTCACTTTATAAAGGCACACGTTGTTAAGCACACTGGCAAGAAACCATTTTCGTGTCAGTATTGTGGATACAGGGCCTCTCGGAGGGACGTCTTGCAAGAACACATTTACTCGCGTCACACGGGAGAAAGACCTTTTACGTGCTCTCTCTGTTCTTTCAATACGTCTCGCAAAGGCATTTTAAAAGTACACCTTCGAACACACTCTGGAGAGAAACCTTATGCTTGTCCATTCTGCTCTTATCGTTCTGCCCAAAAGTCTAACTTAAACACTCATATGATAAAACATCGGCCAACTCCCAGCTCATAACTCGCTTGCTCTGCATCTCGCTGATGATTAACGTACAGTAACTTGCCCTGCGTCACAAATTGTTTCCAAATGACTCGAGTTAGAAAACGACTTAGATTAAAAATCTCATTTAAAGACGACCTACACTCCCTATAAATGCCGATTGAGCAACCCCTTAAAGTCACTAACAATATAACATCGTTCAATAGTTCACTTTATTTTCAATAAGCATACACTATATTTTTATTGATGCTAATGTGTGTAAAAAAAAAAAAAATAACTATACTGTATATCAAGATTGGCGTAAGTAGAAAAGGCTTTAGGTTATGTACACTGTATATATTATGGTGGTGTATATTTTGTGCAAGAATCAGTTATGGGACCAGTTTTCTACTTATAGCTTAACAATACTGTACTGGTGTTGGATGATTGGGTATGTTATAAATTCTGATAATAATAAGCTCAAGGCGAGAAGTACTGTTAGAAAGACAGGAATAAACTGTAGATGAACACAAATAATTTGCCTCTTGATAAAGGGACAAAGAAATAATATACATTACAAAAAAGAACGAATGTATAAAGATGTGAGCTGGTAGCAATAATCCTAAAAGTGATTACCTCTTTGAAGGAGCTTGGCTGTAGCTTATAGAACATGAAAAAGTTTAGCATTGTATAATGGAAGCAAAAGTAAAATATAAGTGAACATTAAGAATGCCTACACAAGTGTATAGCATATGTTAGTACTAATTCATTCACTGATCGCTCTTTCAAGATGTATAATTCTACTTTGTCCCTATCTATAATACTGTATACATGGTTTTTGGCTCCATACTTAGAGAAAAGATATGGAAAATATGGAAAGAGCGCAAAGTAAACTGATCAAATTAATAGCAGAGTTGCATTGTCTCAAAATTTATTGTCTTACAGAAACCCTGAGGTTAACATTAATGGTGGACTGTTGGTTTCCTTTACGCAATGCATAAATAAGGTCATAGCTATTATGGAAAACACCATTGGAGAGTCATACAAATATAGATTGCAAATACAGATGTTACAGATGCTCCCCTACTTACGAAAAACCAAGTTACGAACATTCGCAGATACGAACAAAATCCTACCCATTTCTACCCATATGTTAATGTATGTATTACTGTATTGTACTGTTATATTATTATTACTGTATTAAATTCATTAATACTATACACTTCTTTGTTTTATGTAGTAGTTAAGCATCTTTAGCCTAAGTACTGTACAGTACTGCATATGTATGTACTGTACAATATTTTTATTTTTTACCTAAGCGCAAGTTACTAACAGATTTTTGGAACCTTACTCATTTATAAGTAGGGGAGTTTCTGTACTGCGGTTGGACGTCACAGCTTTTACCATGCCAATCTGGAAGAGTAATATAAAGTAATCAATAGTAATTTTGTGTGGCTCCCGTGGCCAAGTGGTAACGCTTATGACTTTGATTTGTTAGGTCATGGGTTCGAGGCCCACCATGGATGGAAGTTAGAGAGGGCATTCACTTAGGGTAACAGTCACACTGCCAACATCCTTTGCAAGAAGGCACTGTCATAGCCCTTAAGAGAATAGGAAGTCTGTGATGTAAAACTATTCACAATCAATAAGAACTTTGTATTTTATTTGTGATTATACAACGAACAGACAAAAGACCAAGACTATTAACAATCCATTTGAGATTGGTCATTGGATGATTTTATTGCATTATATAATCGTGTTATAGTACTGCAAAGTGTCACTAAGCCCTGATACTGCAAGTTCAGCCATAATTCATACACTGCAAGGTCAATGTATCTATCTATTATAAAAGTCACAATCCCCCTTTAAAGGGGGTGGCTGAGTCCAAGAAAAAACTTGACTCATTGTGCAAGGAAAGTACAATGAAGCCCCTTTAGTTGAGTTTTACAACACACAAGGAACAAAGGAACACAGAGGAGGTTTTCTTGCTCCCACCTTCAGATGGATGGCTGAGGCAAGGGAATAAACTTGATTCATTGTTGTATGAAAATACAAATGAGAGGATTTTCAGTATCCATTGGCATTTCTGAACAGAATAAAACAAGCAACTATAAATACATTATTCTTGTAAATGGCAATAACTGATATTGTACGTATTATGCAGTCACCATTTTTGAAGCTCATTATGTAAAATGTTGCCACAAATTTAAGTCGGGTTATTTACTGTATTGAAAAAAAGTGTACTGTGTGTCCTTGCCATTAATAATATATAAAACAGGTAACTGTACTATTTAGTAGTAAGTAAAATTTTCTGTATTGTTATTAGTAATTACTGATATTTGTATGTATAAACAATAAATTCTGTTTTGGTTAAATATTGAGTATGCTTTCAAGCTTTTATAGGAAGATTTATGAATATTCTCTTTTAATGGTTTGTACTACTTAAGGTAGTACTGCACAAGATTATCTATATTATGTATATACCATTATATATTACGTCTCTTAAATTGTACTTGCCCACATACCCTGGGGGTGACCAAATTAGAGTGCTGAGGGGGGGAATTGTGGTATCCCTTCATACCTAGGGAGCTAAGAGGAGTGATCAAGGTATACTAATTTCTAGAGAATGTGTGTGCTTTAACTCAGCAACCCCCTTACTAGGGGGGTTGCGGCCATTGTATATGTATATATGTAACTATAACAGGTTGATATAATAATAAAAGGAAAAGTGCGTGCTTGATCTGACTGATGTGTGATATGTAAATTTTTCTGCTGCAGAAGCTCAGTCATAAAAGGCTAAATTGTATATTATGTATAAGAAAAGTATATCAATAAAGGTGATGCAATTTTGACTATCAAATATACCAAATACCCTTTCACCTTCAGTGACCACAAAATTCCCCATCGACAGGTCGCAATGGAGATGGCAATGTCACTTGGATCGTCTGGCAATGTGGCGTCAGACTGGCGAGGACACTCTTCCAGCACAACAATCTTCCCATGCACAAGTGAATTGTCTTATTACATTCCACCTGAAAATGACGAACAGTTCTCGTTAGATGCAGCGTCGAAACGATATACTTGTAATTACTGCTCTTACAGTACATACAGAAGAAACCTGATGCGCGAGCACATTAACAGACACACTGGAGCAAAGCCTTTCTCTTGTCCCAATTGTTCATATAAATCTTCACACAGAAATGTCTTGAAAAGACACGTTCTGACGCATACTGGAGAGAAGCGGTATAAGTGTAATCTGTGCCATTATCGTGCTGCTTGCAAGACCAATTTGAATTCGCATGTACAGACTCATCACAGCAGTGCACTATAGATTTACAAATTCTAATTGTGTTAATATTTGAAGAAATAGAAACTGGGTTGTAAACTCATTTGAAATATGACATAGAGTATCCAGGTTATTATAAACAAGGTGTTCATAACATACAAGTATGTTTAACTTGATTTTCTATTCAAACATGCAAGCTTTATAAATTACTTATATTTTGGAGATTAGAAGTAGTATTTGTTTACTGATTTCTAGGATACGAGACTACAAAAATTGCTTATTATTTACACATGATATCCGTTAATATAGAGTACACATATTTTGGGTTTTAATTAAACTTTAAAACTATTTAATCATAAAGTGTGAAAATTTAGAAACTGATAATAAAATATTATGTGACATGATGCAGCAAATCAAGCATATTCCCTATTGGCCTATATTGGTGTATAGGCCTTTTAAAATTTTTTTATCTTCAATTCTTCTCCTATTATAAGTCGTATATTGTGGAGCCTGTAAATATTTTGTAATTCTATATTATTATTATTACTATCATATTTAACATTACTCAAGCAACAAGATAGAAAAAATAAAGCTATAAAAAATTCTATACAAGAAGTTCAGCATTATATTGGCCGTGTATCACGTCACTGAGAAGGAACGAAAACAGGTCATGTTTTTTCTCTCAATTGTTTTAATCCATTAACGAACTTATTTCGGAAATGAAAGAAGTCCGTAGTCTCTCTCAATGTATTCACAGTTGACCTTCCTATATTCTCTTTCATTCCGAGTTTCTTGGATAATTATTTTTATTTTAGATCAGCAATATAATAAAATAAAATAAAATAGTAATATTTAATTGCTTTTTTCTATTTCCATCTCTACTATGTTTCAATTTAAATGGTGAATTTATAAAAAAATAATAATGTAAAATATGTCATGTATATCGTGTTCAGTTAATGATGATTATTATAAGATCAGCTATATAATAAAATACTAAAAAAAAATTTTAATAGTTTTTTTTTGTCCTATTACCATCACTTCTATTATGTTTCAACATGTGTGATAACCTTAAAAAAATAATAATGTAAAGAAAATATAATATATATCAATATTTCAAAGCATAAGAAATTGATAAGAATACCCATAGAAAAAATAATAATGTATAAACTTATATCATCATTTCAGAGTATAAGATATTTGATTAAGACTACCTGTAAAAAATAATTTATATCATTACTTCAGAGTACAGTATAAGATAATTGATACGAATACATTTAGAAAAAGTAATAATGTAAAAATAAAATTATATATATTATATAAAAGTATAAGATACAGTATTTGATAAGACTTCCTCTTCAGGTAGAAGTTATGGAAACAGTACCACAGTGGAACGAAGGACTTCCGAGAATAACGACTGAGAGGCCGCTACTCGCTCTTCGTTCCGTTGTGCTTCCGGGACACCCTCGGAAAATGCATCGTTGTTCGCATTGCCCCTACATCACGGATAACTTCCACAACCTCAAAAGACACACCATGAAGCATACCGGAGAGAAGCCTTACTCTTGCCCGCACTGCTCGTACTGCACCCGAAGAAAGGAACTATTAAAGGAACACATTAATATCCACACTGGAGAGAAACCATTCTTTTGTACGTTCTGTTTGTATAGAACCACTCACCGGAATATTTTGAAACGACATGTACTCCTACATACCAGATGATAACATGTCCGCGTGTGTTACTGAGATGGGCGACATCCAAGTCACCCTTTTGGGTTAAATACCAGTCACTTGTTTGGATGACACACGTCACTTAGTGTGACAGAAGTCAGTCATTTGGGCAACAAAAGATTCGGGTGAATTACAAGTCACCCTTTTTGGTGAAATATAAGTCACTCATTTGAGTTAAGCGCAAGTGACTTATATGTGTGACACACAAGACACTCATTTGTGTGAGACAAGTTGCTCATGTGAGTGACACACAAGACACTCATTTGTTTAACACAAGTCACTTATTTGGGCGACACATGAGTCACACTTTGCTTTTCTTTGTTCCTCATTTTCTTTAGTGAATTTTGCTTAAGTTGAGAATTGACAGACCCAAAATGAAGCCTGCTGTGGGGTGTGAGGAAGGGCATCCACCAGTAATTGGCTAGTTCCAACCTGTTTGTGTGCACCCCCATAATGGGTAATTGAGTGACATAAAAAATGGCAAACAACTTTAGCTCTTCATATGAATGTGCATGCAAAGGCTTAAGAGTTTATTGCTTGGAAAAAAAAAAAAACATGCATGCACACTTACATTAACACACACCAAGAATTTTTATTGTCTAGGTATATTTTTGCTTAGTGGTATATATGTTTGAAATTATTTTCACATTCTTTGTTGTGTATTTTTTAAGTAACATGGGAAAGGAAAATAATAATGTCAAATATTTATGTAAAAATACCCCTAAAAGATTATTTGTATTTACATTTAGTATACTGTACTTGACATTGTATACTGTACTAAAGTCTTCTGGATTTTCCTATAAGCCGTACCAGAGGTAAATATAAATGTTAGAGAATATTTTTATTTTTCCTTTACTTCATTAGCTTGTCTTTCTCTAATGTTCTGCTGGAAACAGCTTGGATATTTGTGGATTTATATTTTACAATTTTACTCCAGTAGATATGAAAATGGCTTTTGAATGATGAAAGTAATAATACAATGCAAGATTTTTTGAAAATCTTGAATAGAAAGAATTTGTCCATATACCAGTTAAAAAAAAAAAAAGAGAGAGAATTCCGTTTCCACGTAAACCAAGTAAATATTTGCCGAGTAGATATTTTTCGTGAAGTAACAGATCTGTGATCTAACCACTGTGTGGCGTTAGGAATGGCATCCAGCTTGTTGGGGTCCACTCCCATTCTAATTGGTATGAACTGTGATATAAAAGGGCAAACAAATAAACAAACCAAGTGTTGCTGAATATAAAATAAATTCACGAAGAATCAAATCCTGCAAAATAGAAATAAAACTTGCTGATGCTTAGGAGAGACGTCTGTGCATAACATATTCTGACATCTGTCAGAGTAGTGAATGATGACAACTTTCAATATGTAATTAAAGTTTTGGATGATGTGAGGAAATAAAGGGGTGTTACATGGAACACAAAAAGTCATAGATATATAAATATTTGCACAAAACTCCATGCTTAATAAATATTTGTCAGCATATGCTGATGACAGGGAAAACTGACGAAAAAA